AAACCTCTGAACTGAAAGTGAGCCACCCCAATTAAATGTTTTCCTTTATAACAGTTGCCGTGGTCATGGTGTCTCTTCACAGCAATAGAAACCCTAAGACAGAAGTTGGTACCAGGGACTGGGGTATTGCTATGATAGGCCTGACCATGCTTTTGTTTGGAGGAATGTGGACTTGGGGAGTTTGGGTTAGGAAAGCAGTGGAATGCTTTAAGCTCTGCTTAATGGGCCATACCAGTAGGAGCATGGAAGACAGTGGTGCTAAGAGTGATTTGAACTGTGGGGGACTGGCTCAAGAGGTTTCACAGGAGAATTTGAGTATGTTGCCTAGAAATTGTTCTTGTGATATTTTGGTAAATAATGTGACTGCTTTTTGCCCTTGTCTTAAAAGTTTGCCTGAGGCTAAAGTAAAGAGTTTTGGATTAATTCCCTTGGAAGCAGAAATATCAAAACAGCCTAGTACAGAATCTATTGTGTGGCTACTCTTCCACTGGAAGCTCAGCCTTAGCCCTCCCTCTCCAAACCCTGGCCTTCAGAAAGCCCATCAAATGGTGGCTCCTGCTGCAGAGTTGCTCAAGACTGTGCCTACAGGGTATTTAAGCTCCTGTTTATAGACCTGCCAGGTGATTTCTTCTCCTTTCCCCCAACTCCCCACCACGGTTCACCCAGGAATGCTTTGCTCAGATTAAACCTGGTCCTTTACTTTTAATACAACTTGATCTGGCTTATTGCATCAGTGGAGAAACCTAATACTGGGGATTCAAAATACTTATCAGTTACTAGTGTTAACTCTAATAAACATATATAATGAAAAAGAACAAGCTGAGCAAGGAAAAAAATTGAGAAGAAAAGGAGCTAAGTCCTGTATTCAAAGAGATAAACAGAATGGAGTGGTGACCTCAGGGCAAAATCCTACCCAACTAAATTTACAAGTTGAGAGAAGGAATTGAAGAAAAGCTTAGAGCCTGGTGTGGTAGCACACACCTTTAACTCCAGCACTGGGAAGGCAGAGGCTGGTAGATCTCTGAGTTTGAGATGTTGTGCCCAGGTCGCAAGTCCCCCAAGCAAGACCACCACAGAGCCAACATCCGATGGGAGCACACAGGTTTTTTTTTTTTTTTTTTTTTTTGGTTTTTCGAGACAGGGTTTCTCTGCGTAGCTTTGCGCCTTTCCTGGAGCTCACTTGGTAGCCCAGGCTGGCCTCGAACTCACGGAGATCCGCCTGGCTCTGCCTCCCTAGTGCTGGGATTAAAGGCGTGCGCCACCACCGCCCGGCAAGCACACAGGTTTTTAATAACAAAACAAGCAAGCTTGGTCTGCAATCCAACATCTGACACAGCGGGTGGAGGACAACGGCCCCGAGCACTCACTTGAAGGGGTTTATATAGAAAAGGTTTACATGCAGCTTGGGATTGGATGAGGGGCTAGGGGTGAAGTAGTTCTTTGAAGTTACTGGCTGAACTATAAGCATGAGGTTACTGATGGCTGACAGGATTCAGGGTATCTGCAGAGACATAAATTTTTACTCCCTATGTCCTGCTTTTGCTGAACCCAGGATATATACATTCAGATTCATTGTTCCAGTCCTACTCTTCTCTGAGTGTCAGTTGAGCCCATTACTCCCCATATCTTGTTTTGCCAAGTCCAGGATACATAGATTTATTGTCCCAGCCTTATAAGTTGAACTTCTGGTCACTTTTAAAACTGCTGGTCAGCAAATACCTTTGGAGGAGGGGTAGGGGAAGCGTCTCTCAAGATGGCTACTGATTTTTCCCTTTCAAGGCCAGCCTGGTCTACAGAGCACATTCCAGAACAGCCAAGCTTGGGCAGTGAAGGAAATCATCAAAAACAGAAAGCTAATGAAGATATAATTGAAAGATCACCAAGTTCAAGGCCAATCTGGACTACAGATCCAATTTCACGACATCCAAGCTTAGGCAGTGAAGGGAACCATCAAAAAAAAAGTCGAAGATGTAATTGAACAAGGGGCCATGTTCCAGCCCCAGCAAGCAGAACTTGACAGCTTTGGCCAGGTGGTTCTGGAGTTAAGGACAGAAGAAAGGGGCTGTGGAATTTGCCTCCAAGACAAAGAAAAGCTGCTGAGGCCAGGCATGTGTCAGGGATGTCCCTAAATGGAGGCCTAGAGCGGCCATTGTGTGAAACTGTGAAGTTGAAGTCTGGATTGCCTTGGAGACTCCAAGATGTTGGAGATGCCAGAGCCAAAGGATACCTGCCCAGGAGAGATGCTAACAGGGAGAGGAACCAGCCAAAGAGAAGAAGTATGTTGCAGTCAACAAAGCTCAAAGGAGCTGCAGATCTGAAGAGCATTTTGACATCAGACATGGAGATACAGAGTTTGGAGTTGACCCAGCTGGTTTTCAGTCTTGCTTTGGTCCAGTATTTCCTCACTATGTTCCCTTCCCTACAGGATATATGTTGTAAGAATGTGATCTGTTTTCTTATTTTGATTTTACAGAGGATAACAGTTAAGACAATGCATGAATTTCAGAAAAGACTATGAACTTTGGACTTTTAAATAAGTTTGAGACAGTTATAAACTATGGGGACTTTTCAAATTGGACTGAATGCATTTTGGGGGGCCAGGGAGTGGAATGTGGTGGTTTGAAAGAAAATGGCCTCCAGAGGGAATGGCACTATTGGGAAGTGTGGCCTTGTTGGAATAGGTATGGTCTTGTTGGAGGAAGTGTGTCACTGTGGAGGTGGGCTTTGATGCCTCATATATGCTCAAGCCACACCCAGTGTTTCAGCTCACTTCCTGTTGCCTTTGGATCAAGGTATAAGGACTCTCAGCTCCAGCACCATGTCTGCCTGCACGCTGCCTTGCTTCCCACCATAATGATAATGGACTAAACTCTGAACTGTAAGTGAACCATGCCAATTAAATGTTTTCCTTTATAAGAGTTGCTGTGGTCATGATGTCTTTTCACAGCAATAGAAATCCTAAGGCACCCAGTACTAAAAAAAGAAAAGCTAAAAATCTAAGGACAACCTGGGTTCCTCCAGACCATCTGTAATCTCTTTCTTGTCCTGTAACAATTATGACTGTACACTGCATTTCCCCTTAAGTATGAATGGATTGTAGATATTGTGGTCTCTTGTAATTAAACTTCCTTCTTTGGGGAAGACATAAACAATGTTTACCGCCCCTTATCCCCCAGGGTCCCAAGGACAAACCAAGACATGATATCTAAAAAGTACACTTTGGGGAACCAAGTTTATTGAGCTTCCTTACAAAACACAGGTGAGACATTACTTAGAGCAGTGTGGGTGCATCTCCCCCAACAGACTGCACCTAAAAAGCCTTTACCCTGGAGAGATGAGGGCTTCCCCTCCTCTAGCTATCCCCTGCTAACCCCCTCTGGAGGCCATGTGTAATTAAGGAAGCACTGAGTATAACAGGCGGGAGGGAGCAGCTGGATACTCATGTGAGGAGGGGTCCTATAAATACTCAACAAGCCCAGGTAGGCTCATTCTTTCGCACTTGGGACACTGATGACATCCACAAGATGATAGCAGTTTCCTGGCTTAGAGGAGTCTTGGAGGACCTTGTTGGGCATGATTTAGTCACTAAGGCGTCATTCTCTTAGGAGAACAATAAAAATAGTCCTATTTCGGGGAAGGCAGTGGAGTGATGTCTCAGCAGTTAAGAGGATTTGTTCTTCCCGAGTACTCAAGTTTGGTTCCCAGCAACCACATGGCTGTTTACTACTGCCTGTCACTCCAGGTCCAGGGGATTCCACGCTCTCATCTCTCCTCTGCAGGCACCTGCATACACATGACATTCATACACAGAGACACACAAACATACACATAAAAAAAATTAAAAAGGTAATTTGCCTGGAGTTAAGAGTCCAGCTTCACGAGTTTTCAGAAGCTGACAATGAGGGAAACTTGAGAGTCACTGTCCCTGCTGACTGTTAGGAGTAACACTGCACATATCAAACTCAGAAAACCTATTAATGGAAACCTGAGTACAGGGCATTCAAAACTGTTTCAGATGGTAGCTGCTCTGTCTGCCAAACACTGGCTCCACTTACCAAGGGTCCTACAGGAACAGGTTTAATATGATAGTCTTGGGAGGTGACTGCCATAACTCTTTCAAAGGAATCTCTCAGTGCTTATTACCACAGAAATGTGTATTGTGCTTAATTTCTTAGCCAAGGCCGAAATGGCCAAGTATGTAAAACAGAACAGGTGGTTCTCAAGCAGGAATATGAGAGACTCAGAAAGATGGGGTTTTGTTTTGTTTTGATTTTCCCTCAAAAAACTGTAGGAAATTGAGGAAATGAACAAAGTTAATATCAGCAGTTAGAGCTACCTTTTCACTGGCAGACACACATGATTTGAAGAGTGTTATTTCCCTGCCAGGTAACAGGATAATGGTGCAGGGTCTGCTGGCCTGTCTGCTAAGTAACCTGTGCAGAAAGTTAGCTGAGACATAAGAACCGACAAGGAACAAAACTTTCTCAGGATGATCTAACTCTAAACCTGCCTCCAGGCTATGGCATCACTTTCCAGGGGGTCCTGATCACATACCTACCCTCAGATCCTGTCCCTAAATAAACTCTAAACTTTTAAAGCTCTCCAGATCTCAGAAGGCAGCGTGGGCCTGTGCAGTCCAGAGTCCACATTCCTAATTAGAATAATTAGCAATAAACCCTCGAAGCAAATATCAAACATAAGAATGGGTTCTGAGACAACCATGTGATGTCCGATCCTAGCAACTACAAAAAGGGACTGCTAAGCCATCAAAATTCCCTGAAGTAGTAACAGAAGGGTATTCAAGGGGGGTTTAGTCATGGCCACTCTCAGGCTACAAGGAGGCTATTTTTATAGCAATACACTAAAGTTTTTTAAATTTACATTAAAAAAAGGAGGTTACTTTTCCTAAATTTATAGTTTAAAAATACAAGCATGCAATAACAATTACCACTGACTAATTCCTTAGGCACACATAATTAATATTGACTAGAACACAAAGCTAAAATTGTCAGTAAAATGCTTTATTTATATTGGAAGCTTTCAAATGTTGGCCAGTTTGTTACTATTCAACAGGCAAACAGTATAAACATTTTTGTTCCACGAGATGAGAGATCAGCTAACGCTTTTCCCATTAATTATTAAAGTAGCATCGTGACTAAGGTGTCCTCACATTGTGAACACTCTTCCAAACACATGACAGACCATCAGGTCATGGTGGTGGATTCCTGGAATCCCAGCACCGACGCAGGAGTATTCCCAGCAGTTCAAAGCCAATCTGGGCTACTGTATAAGACACTGTATCAAAACAAAACAAAAAAAACCGAACAAACCAAAGATATGTCAGATCCTTTATAAAGGTGACACTTTTCGTAAAGCAATACAAGTTGTAAATGAATTAAATACTAAAAACCTACAAACAGTGCTTACTGCCTGTTTATTTAACAGTTACTAACAGTCCCAATAAGTTTATGAGATAAGCAGCATCACTATCATTTTACAGTCGTCGAGACAAGAGACTGGGGTAACTTGTAGTCAGGTTAAATGGTAAAACCCTGCTTAGGCAGCCTGGCATCCAGTCACGTTCCCAGACTTTGCAGCACATCGGAATCACCTGGGGAATCCTTTAATGACCCCTTCCCTGACATTCCGGCTTAACTGGAGCTCCGAGAGGCCAGAGCCTGGAGATTGCGAAAGGTTCCCCGGGGCGGCCAAAGTTTGGGCAACTCCGGTCTGAACAGTTTCGACCCAGTTCCGTTCCTCTGGCCCAGCTCCTCCAACCCGGCGTTAAACCAGGGCAAAGGCAGAGACGGCAGCAGAAGAGGCGGGCCAGCCTGGCCAAGGCTCGGGCCGAGCGTGTCGGAACTGAAACCGGAGGGTCAGGCGGGTCCCGGGGGGGTCCTGTCCCGGGTAGGCCCGCGGGCTCCCAATGCGGAGGGCACGGCCCCTCACGTGACCGTCCTGGCCAGCCAAGCACCGCTGCCCCGCGACCGGGGAGGGGGGCATCCCGTCCGCGCCACTCGGGGCCAAAGGGACTCGGTGCCGCCGCCGGGACGCTGGCAAGTTCGTGGTCTCCGCGGCGCCCGGGCGCGCCGAGCCGACGGCAGCCCCGCGGCCCTCTGGGTCGCCCACCGCGTACTCACCCGGAGGTGAAATCCTGCTGCACGCTCAGCAGCCGCTCGCGCAGGGTCTCCAGCATCGCGTCCCCTCCCTTCAGGCCTCCCGCCGCCGCCG